GGTCGTTGTACAAAAGGTCATGGAGTCGGTCTAGGATTTAGAATATTGATTCTAAGTTTTAACACTTATGTTTCCTAAGCCTGTGTCTGATTCTATTTTCTCTCCTACTTACGCTTTTTTTTAGTTTCATTGAACATATATATCTTAAGAGTAATAATGTTTTTTTTATGGTAATTAATCTTTTTTAGACATTTCTTTCAACGTACAGTTCAAAGTTTGCATTTCGGCATTGCATTAAATTCGCCGTAAGTTTATTATATTTAAAAAAAAATAGAATTTAAAATTAGATACCATTTTTTAAAATAAGCACCACTTAAATATTATATTCGCAATATAAATTTGGGTAAAGCGTAACTTTTGAACAGATTCATTTTAGATTTTATAGCAAGCGATGGGATTGAGAATCTATGCATGAAATAAACATATCTTTGGTCGAATGTAGCATCTTAGATTGAGTTCAGAAATTGTGAAAAAACGAGGAATGTATATAATTGAAGATTTGAAGAGAGGTCAGACTTTTATGAAAACTTATTTTTAAGACAGATGTTGAATAAGTAGATTTTTAATAACTTAAATATCGTTTTTATGCTTCAAATCCAGTTTACGTATTACAATATTTAGGAAATTAGTCGATGTTTAAATAAAAAGTTTTATGGAATGTTTAAAAAAATCGTGGCAAATAATGTCAAGTAAACATACGATATAGATCTCTACGTTTAGTAGATTTTCTAAGGCCAAATATAGTTTTTAGAAGTTAGTTCTTTAGCAAGAATCGGTCTTGCAACTTTTAATAGTTTATACTATTGGATGTTTTTTAATTTTTTTCTCTAATTTTACCGGAAATCACAAGTCACTTCATCGTGTATCGCATGTTTTCACTTCATTAATAATAAAAGTTTTTGCTTGCTGCCCCTCGCTATATCCACGCCCAGGGGAAATATATACCTAATAACTATGAAGGTAACCTCTTACGTACGTTTATTAATGGGCTCTCAGGTACTGTTAATTTTGACAGATTAAACGTATGTCAGTGTTGTTGTAAGACTCTTTGGACACAAGATACAGTAAATACTTAACCCGTCGATTTTAATCGCCTTGCGACCGATACAATGACATATGGCTTCCATTTAATGCACGCGTCGCTATCATTTTGTTTTCTTTGCGTCACTTAATTGTCACGAAAAAGTCGCCGAAATTTTCAAGTTCGCAAAGCAAGTCTATACATACTATGCCTGTAATTACAGAATAGATGGTTCGCGTTAACGATTCGACGTTCTGTTCTCACAAGAATGCAATATTAGTTTGAAGATTTACTTTGCCTTCTGTATGAAGCGTTTAAGTCTTTAAATGTGCAGAAACTATACGATTCTGTGTGGTTTTTGAATGGAATTGAATACCAGATAATTCTTTAATAACAGCGTATGTTTATGATTTCGTCTCAATTGACAGTGAACTCTGGTTGTTAATTAACAGGATTAGTAGATATGCATATTGGCATGACGCTGTACCTTGGTGTTCAGCATTGAGTAATGATGCTTGTTTAGCGCGATCTATTCACGTAAGCTCATTAAGCATAATTAACAAGAACGATAAATTTGATCTGCAGACATTAATGCACACGTTCTCCAATATCTTACATATTACATACTATTAGCATTTTATGAACTATTTGTTAATTTTATTTGTCAATCTTACTGTTTTACTCAGAGATCTTTAGTAGCCACTGAGAGTTACTAAGTGTATATTTCTCATTTTAAATCTACATTTAAATAAGTAACGATAAGTAACAATTCGTCTCTTAAAAGTTGCCGATTTTTATACTGAATTTATAACACAGTTACAGAACTGTAATTTACACAGAAAATTGTAAACGTAAAATGGTTGCACAAACTGAACAATTAACGTTAACAACCTTTCTGAAACGGACAAAGGAAATTAAATAACGATAATGCGTAATCAATATAAAACGTTGTAAATATCCTCTGCGAAGTAGTGTATTTTAAATAAAAATGATTACTCTACAGAGATGCACATACGTACTTATGTACATGTTATGTATATGAAGGCGTACAGTTTATTGAACTTTCCTGTGCACATGATGAGCGCCCCTTCTTGGCTTTGCGCGGTTACACATTTATTTAAAAAAATTGAACTATACTAAATACACTAGTAGTTACTTAAAAGTATTATAATTTTCATCTTTCTATTGGGGAGGTTAGTCTATAAATTTTTTGAAGTTTATTCGTAACATAAATCTGTTTTTCTTTATTATCTTTTTGTTTATAAACTTTTAGATTTATAATTTTGAAAAACACGGTATATTTTGTATTTGCAATCTTGAAAGTGGTGAAGCACTCGGTTAAAAGCTAGTTAGTATAAATAGATGATTTTAAAATAAAACGCGAAGGTAGTGGCGATTGGCGCGAAACTTGTCCGCACGTAATGTCGGGGTGCTTTGTTTGCGCGCGTTATCGCAATTTGCAGCGGACGGCGGCTATCGCCATGTCGGTCTATTGTGCTCATGTCAAACTTGAAAGCAGTTTTGTTTGGCGATGTTCTGTTTTAAATGCGCATCGCATTACTTATACTAAACTATACCAGACGTAGTTAGTAAACTGTCCTACTCAAATTCATTGATAAAACGAACGTCCGTGGCTCAGGGGTAGCATTTGACTTGCAATCTGTAGGTTCTAAGTTCGAATCCCTTCATGTACCAATGTGTTTTTCGATTTCAATTGACATATGTACATTAATCCGACGTTCTTACGGTGAAGGAAATCATAGTGATGCAATCTGTACATGTCTGAGAAGAGATTCTAAAATGTGTGAAGTCAAATAACCCGCACTGGGCCAGCATGGTTGACTATGGCCCCTAAGTGGACATATAGAGAGTTTATAATAATTGCTGATTTGTCAATCCCTTTAATATAGTTCATGGTGTCCAACACCGTGCTTAAATTTATACAGGCATGCATCTCAGAGAGGGAATTTCTTAATTATACTGTACAGGGTTTTAGCTTAATTAAACGTCACATCTATGATAAACGACTATTACGTCATACTATTAAATTGATTAAGTTGCCTTCAAATACTAAATGGCCTGTATATCAAAGAAACAACGCGTGTTGTCGTGTCACGTCTATCAGAACGTGATATGTGAAGTAAATATATTAGTTATTGAATAAATAATCGGACTTTTAGCGTTTGACGAGTGACGTGCCCATCCCTAAGGACACAGCTAAACAATACGCTTGTATTCTTTTGTTTACAATGTTATATCGAAGAGAAAATGTATAAACAATGCATTGTAATATCATAGATAATTGTAATGTATTTAAAAAAAACATCTTAATTATTTATAATTTATAAATAAATAAATAAAATTATTTATAAGTTCTTAGTGAGGAAAGCGTAGTTGATATTTCCTCGCCCATGTCGTTCGCCGCTAAAAAGCTGCTGCGATCATGATGTTGGGACAATTATACATACAGTTAATATCTGTGTCTTTAAGTAATATAAAGGAATCATATTTCTTTTATAATATTATAATGTTGTGTAATATACGAGATCGTCGGTGGCTCAGGGGTCAAGCACTTGACTTGCAATCTACGGGTCCTGGGTTCGAATCCCGCCATGTACCAATGTGTTTTTCGATTTCCGATTTACATATGTACATTTATCCCACGTTCTTACGGTGAAGGAAAACATCGTGATGCAACCTGCACATATCTGAGAAGAAATTCAAAGATATGTGTGAAGTCAACCAACCCGTACTAGGCCAGCCTGGTTCACTATGGCCTAATCACCCTTAACTTAGGGTAGGCTCCGAGCTCCTCGGTGGGGACGTATAGTGAGCTGATGATGATGATGAATATATGTAATAAGTTCTCTAAATACCTAATTGAAAAGTATTAAATATTCTCCAATGTTTAATATTAAAAGTTTAATGAGTTAAATTTCGAGTATCGAAGGTCACCAAAATTATACTTCTTATTAATTACTTTCATTGATTGAAAGTAAAAGTTAAAATTCTAAAGGAAAATTTGTAAGATATATTATAGTTATTTCATATCATTTTAAGGTACTAATTATCTCCATCAGTGTATTTCTGTTTCGTCTTTTATTGTGGTAATGCAAAAAAAATATTTATGTCAATTTCCATTTAGAGAATGCAATTTTATCACCCGAAAAACTAATAAGCGTCCAGTCAGTGAATAAAAATAATTTTGTTATGAAATTGTTAAATATTTTGAAATTATAACAATATTTAAAGAAATAATTTTGAATAGCATAATTTATAAAACATTGTTATACCTGAATACTGTTGATTACCTCGAAATAGACACATTTTATGTTATTATTATTTTTATGATCCTATTTTAAAGACCTTTTAAATTTACTGTCTAAAAGGGTTAAGTTTATTACTTATGTGTGCTCTTAACCTAATATATTAATGACTTACTACATTTGACTTGACTTATGACTTACTATACAAATGACATTAACATTTTGACTATTTAAATGTTTTTGAAGTTGTGAATTTATTTTATAAATGAGTAAATTGTATTTTATTTTTCATTTTTGTCAAAAATGTTTGAAATAAATTTTTACATTTATTTATTTATTGAATTGAATTTTAATCGATAATTTTTTTACATTTCATTTTTTGTTACCTTCCAAACTGTTAATGTTAACAAAGTGTTAGACTTTTTTTGCAACATTCTAAGTAAAATAAAAGATAATTTGTGTAACCCATATTGAAGATAAAGTTATCAATGAAGATAAAGAAGTGTTAATTATAAGATATATGTAAATAGAATATTCAATGAAATAAGATGAAACCCATTTTATTAGAAGGTTTAATCACAGAGTATAAACAATATTTAAATTCTATATAACAAAAAATATTAACTACTTATGTAATTCATAACAATTTTAATAATAAAACGTTCCGAAATTAAAGAATCTAAATTATTCAGGTACATACTCTACAGAAATTTTACAATCGTGTACAATATTTATACGTATAAAATTATATGGACTAGTTTGATTAAGTCAGAGTAAATTTAGACCTAAGTAGACCGTGTTAAGATTTATTTTACATTGCGCTGAGTTGACTTACGATTACATTTTGATCTTACAGAATTCACTAAAGACTTAAGTAGTATAATACAGATCGCTAAACTTTGTTTAAATGTATGAAATGGAATTAGAAACATAACAACTTTGTTACATATTTGATCTCCATCTTATAAAGATTTTATATCGAGAGATCGCTTTGAATAAACACAACTTGTTTCTTAAAACTGATATTTTTATATACTAATTAAATATCGATTAAAATCACGTATAGTAGCGTATATGTAGTCAAATTTCAATATTAGGCATCTCCGCGGAATGGTTATTACTAAATTAATGCAACGACTTTGGGCAAACCAGAAAATAGATATTAATTTCCACATCTAACAGACGTATTTTTAGTCAAAATTAGATTTAAATAGTACTTACACGTGAGTTTAGCCGTGATTTAATTTTATCTTATTTTTCATTCACAATTTCATACAAAACAGTTTTTTTGATTCAATGCGATATGTGAATATAATTTCTAATGCCATAAATGTTCCTTGTAGTGAACTGGTACGAATACCGGCTTCTCAACTGCCACCGTGTTTACAACTGGTACGTGTACCGTGTTATAAATTGGTACGGTCTTGATTATCGGTACTTCCTTCAAGACTGGCACTTCTTTAATGACTGGCACTTCTTTGATTATTGGCACTTTCTCAATATGATGATGGTGCAAAGTGTGAACTTCGTATGGTACATGGATACGGATGCTGAAAAAAGATTTGTATTATTTAAAACTTTTTGTTTTTTCAATAAAGATTTAAAATAAAAACTAACGATTTTTTATTTATGGTACTCTGGTAAAATTGACTTCAACTTTCTTGATTTAACTTTTTTATTTACGGAATTAAAAAAAACTTAATTTTTTATTTGCCTTGAAGAAAAATGGGCTACTATGCCAAATTTCAGCGAGATCTGTTGAGACATTCTGGATACGTTTTAACAAATATTCGCGTTAATAATATTCGTAGGATTTGTAAAAATAGGTACACTTTGTACTCTAATGTATGTGAATATAAATGCTAATAATAAGTAGTTATATTAAAATTAATTTCGTGAACTGAATATTAATCAACCACAAATAGACCGAAAAATTTCGTGTGATTGCACAAAACAAAGTAAATTACTGTAATGGTACCACTTGTTTTTGACAAATGTTTATACAATGTTTGACAATACTTACTTAGTTCTGTGGGTGTGTCCAAAAGGATCGGGACTCGCCACTGGGTTTGCCATGCACTGGCTGGCGAAGATCAGAGTGCAAACGAACTGAAACAAAATACCTTATTAAGAAACTAAACTTATTTCACAGTGAATTCCTAATAAAAATGTTTTTAATTATACTTTCATGAGAAATTGCAGATGATCAATTTAAAAACAGGTCATGCGGGGAAAAATAAATATATAATATTTAATTGTTTTAATATAGGTAAACTTATTTATTATAAATACAATTATTAGAATCAAAAATCAAATCGATCAAAAAGTCAAAGTCGATTAAGTTTTACGAATAATTAAAAATAAAGATTTTGTTATTGTTAATGACCAAATATTTTTTACTTAATTATGATAACATTTTTGCTATTGCTTAAAACACATTTTTCAAACTTATAACACAACACAAACTGACATGACGAAAAATATATTTCCAAAAATCAGTTGTCACAGTTCGGATTCAATCCCGAAATTTTGTTATTTTTAAGGATATTGTTTATAACGGTAAAAATAAAATAAATGTACAACTTACAGCAACGTGGTGGATCATTGTGACGTGTGGCGTGCGTCTGTGGTGCGTGCGCCTGCGCAGCTCTTTAATATCACCCCGGGTTGTGTAAGCCTGCCTGCCGCCACCGTCACGCCGCCTGACGTCGCAAACGAGGACGACTGTTTACCGTACTTGCACTTCTGCATTACTAAACTATTTACCTGATAATTCGTTTAATCGGTACTTAATCGATCTGATTGGTTCAATGCAGATAGGTTGAAATATATGCAATTTTGTTACCCCTAGAATTATTGATTTCTCGATGTTAACTTTGAACTTATAATATTATTGTATCTTTTAATGTTCCTTTTACGCGATATTTTCAAATAAAAATTGTAAAGGTGGTATTTATAGTGGTCAAAGTTAAAATTACCTGTCAAGCAATTTGGCTTGTGACAATAGCAAAGTAATTCTTGTATTTCTTTTTCGACCCGTATTTTCATTAGGAAATTTAGTTCCTATTTGTTACACTCTCAGAAGCCCATTTTAATATGGTTTCTACCAGTTTTTTTATTTATATCCCGTTGGAAATCCATTTCGAGTACGTAATAAAGTTATGTAAACTAGCGAATGCTTTCTAGAAAATTTGTTGAAAAACTAGATATGTTTCTGTACATATGAGGCTCGATTACGTATTGTTGTGACAGTGTTTACAAGGAACGGATATTATAGGACTCTTGTTTTATATAAGAACTGGATAAATAGTTTATTTTTTTCATGGCCATGTTAACTTGCCTTGCGTAACTATTAGAATTTTATATCTTATTAACATTATAAATACGAAAGTTTCGGTGTATGGATGGGTGTTTGTTAGATGATATCTCCAAGACGGTTCAATCAGATGTAGAACTTGATCTAGAAGGATACACAGGCTACTTACTAAATTTTTTTCAATAATATGCGGACGGAGTCACGGACGACCGCTTAGCAAGTTATATAGTTATAATTTTTGCAGTAGATCAGAGACTAATTGGAGCGATCTATACTTATGTATTGACTTTGAACTAATTAGTTAAAAATCTTGTATATTAGATTTATACTGAGACACAAAACTATAAATATTAAATAGTTGTAATAACTTCCTTTACTTAGAATCTTGTTCAATGAACTTTGTTAATATCCAGAATGGGGTAAATAAACTGCAAAAAATAATGAATGCATATTTTAATTAAAATCTAGAAAGATGTTTAATTTTCAATAGGATATGTAATACCGAGGTTGGTTGTTCCGTTTGTAGCGGATGTGGATCCGATTGTTGCCGTGTTATATGTTTATGTTTTACTTTTACAATAAACAACACATAATATATTGCTACTAATTACATATACCAATTTTCTTAATAATTTTAATTGTTAACATAGTAACGTTGGTACAGTGCATCATCTTGTATATGAGTATTGTTGCCACGCGTCCGGATAAAGCCGGACATAGGTAGGCTTTTTGATTGCATGTCCGGCCAAAATAACCGATGTCCGGGTTGACGGCTTTTTACATTTGGCAAACGAGAGAGTGGTACCTACTAATATTTAGAAAAACTTCTGAATAATGTAGAGTGTCCGACCTTTCTACACAAATGTCCGGCCCAACTGTGTGGTCTGTCCGGTCTATTAGGTGTGGTGACCTGGTAACCCTATGACATAAATTAAGTATCGTTTTAATCTCATTAGTATATTAAATGTTTAAAACAGTCCTACTACATCGTACTTCTTAATTTCTATGATAAAACATTATTCAATCAAGTGACATAAGTATTGTTCTAATCTAAAATCTAAATATAACATCGAGGTCAAGGACTACTATCATAAGGAAATAGTGTAATCAATTTAAATGGCAATACATGTTTCGTTACATCAATGTAATGTAAAAAATATACTAAAACAAGTATTACGTTACACACTAAATGATTCTACATTCATCGTGTGATCGCTCGATAAATTTAAATTTCAAATCCACGGGTACTATTTACTTGTCTTTATGCCGTCAGTTTGTAATCGACCAGTGCGTGGTGGGATTCATTCATACCAACATGTCAATGTTAATTTTACATGCGCACACATATCTGTTATATAATTGCAATTTGATATAAATTCAATGATAATTATAATTAAGCCTCAATAGCCTAATGGTTAAGGCTACGGATTTTCGATCACGAGGTCGGGGGTTCGAATCCCGCCATTCGACTATTGTCGTAATCCATATCCTAGCACAAGCAAAGAGCTTAGTTGGAATGGTAAAAGAAATATTAGTTAATAAAAAAAATCTGCTAGCACTTTTATAAAAAAAAGTCTAAATATTTAAATTCATGCCATACTGTATTAGAGACAGTACTGTACTGTAGAGTAATAAATCTATTTACATTTGTTTTATAAGATTAATATTAATAAATATTAAAATGGAAATTAATTTTCAAATAAAAGTAAACTTAATTATTAATGCAAATTAATATAATAATTATTTTTTTATTAATTTTCCATACCATCAAGATATTTATAATTCGTCGAATATCCCTTATAATTTGTGTTAAAGTGATATTTGACATAGTTTTCCGAAATCATCATTCTTGACTGTCCACTATTTCAAAGTTGCACACTTTCTGCATCTCTTCCGTATACGTCTGACAGGAATGATGTCAGCTCGTCCGCGAGTACGCCAGCTAGCAAGCAGTACACAACACGCATAGTAACGTCCTTTTGGTCATTTGTTGCAAAATGGTTGTTATTACGTGAAATGCGTGCATCGAATTATTGGAAACGATGCAATTGCGTTTTATTTTTGTCTTTCGATCACAATAAGGGTCAATCAAATTCTGTATTAACCCGCGGGTTTCTGATTTTTGTTTGAATATATTGTTATCCCTGTTTTGTCAAAGATGTAACATATTTCATACACTGATTTTGGTGTCAGAAACCCACGTTTAGACAGTTTAAATAACGCAATGTTATTAACGTCAGTTAGGATAAATATTAGGGTCCAGCGCTAGAATATTAAAATAGAATAAAAAGGCTAGATCCTTCACACAACAATAATAACTTATTCACCTCTTTCACATTCATAAGTCTACATTAGTATACGAAATAAATTATAATATTTAAATGAACTCTTAATTTTTTCATTCACTACATTAACAATTAATTCGAAAATTGCATAATCCGATGTATGTATCAACATCGTTTCATAGGAATGGGGACTGACATGCATGAGCGACATCGAATTAACTCGGCTCATTGATTCAGTTATTAAAATGTCGGCGAAATTTATTAACCAGTAGACATAGTTATTGAATTTTTTGCATTTTTAATTATTAATTATATTGATTTCAAATACTGGTAGAGTTTTAAAAAGCACATTTACTTCTTACAACAACATTAAACTTTTTTAATTTAACATTTTTAGTTTTGCAATAAATTTTAAGTTATGCTCTTAAGTTAAATAACAAGGACACTCAGTAGAAAATTCAACTCATTTTATAACTCGCATTTCATTTGCCAATTTATTACATATTAGCTGTCGCCCGCGACTCCGTCCGCGTGGATATATAAAACAAAACTTAATTAGCAGCCTATGTGTATTTCCAGACTATGTTCTACATCTATGCCAAATTTCATCGCGATCCGTTTAGCCGTTCTGTAGATACGTTCAAACAAACATCCATCTATGTAAACATTCGCATTTATATTATTAAGATGCACAGTTATCGTGGATTGGTAATAGCGGTTTTGTATGTTTAGCTATTGAAGTGTCAACATTTGCATAGCTTATTTGTCGACTGTACCTGAGGCGGATTCTGCTCTGTTTCGATCCTAGATTATACGATCGGAATATGGTTTGGAATTACACAAGACTCTGGGGAAGCATTAGTTATTTACCGAAGGCTCTTTATCATGCTTTATCAGTGTAGCCGTATCAATATAACCAATGATACCCGATTGCATTGTTTTACCTATTAATTGCTAAGTTACAAACTCATTTATCTTTAAAACGTCGTTTGGATTATTACCGTGAAAAAATATTGTCAATTTTTTTTTCTCGATGTATTCAAAAGAATGAAATATTTTTCAAACAATCCATTTTAGAGTGTCGCAGACAATTCAGCATGGACTTACAATCTGTTCAGTCACATTCAATTCCTTTGACATTCGAATAACATAAAAGAATAATGTAGACATCCACCCCCATGTAGAACAAGTGGAAAAGCGAATAAGTGCAATCAGACGTATTTCCCTTGGCGCAGCGCTGTGCACATTGACGGCAACATTTCTGCAATGGCCGACCGATGCTTTTTGTTTACGAATTATTTATTGTCTGCAAGATTGTATCGAATTAGCCAGAGGCAAATCTTACTTTATAAATATAAAAAATAATAAATAAAATATTTACTCATATTTCTTTATAATATTTACACATTAAGGAAACATTATTTAACTACGCATTGTCATGAAATTTCTTGTAAATTAACAATAGTATGTACAATGTAAACACAATTTCGCATCGACAAATACCTCTTATCTCGAATTTATGTATTCTCAACCATAAACCCCATGTCAGTCATTAGCTGGTACACACAAACTTTGAACATAACTATATTAACGAAAGACTGTGCTGTTAACGCATAAAGTGTTACCTTATGTAGTGAACATAAGAGTGATTTTTGCATGTATATTTTGCGAAGAGTTCTGCCATCATAAAAGTAGCTAAGAGGTCTGTAAGTCGTTCTCAGTTTGCGACAATACTTCGGGCGGCTTACAAGCTTAATCCTCTCTTAGGTCACTCGCATCACCTGTGTTCACGGTATTTTTACCATCCTAAACGTCCGGGACGTTGAAAGGAAACTTTTACAATCCGGAAACCATGTCAAGTGGAAAAATATCGGATGTTTTATTGTGTGCAATGTAGTCGATTGTGTAATACGATTTCTGGTTATAAATTGTAGTTGGCATTTGTCTAAATTGAATTGATCGTGATTTGTTACAATCGAAAACTTGATTATTTCTTTTATTAAGATCTCTTGTGCGTTTATTAATAATTCAGAAAACACTATAGTTTTTTAATGTGAA